AATCAACAACTACAGGCCAATCAATATCACACCCCCGTCGCGTCTAGAATTAAGCAGAGACTAGTTAAAGACAACCTAATGAAGCATATGCTTAGCTGCAACATTATAAGTCCGAACCAACATGGATTCCTAAAATCCAGATCATGCTTAACATGTCACCAGGAGTTCTTTAATTTTGTGTCTTCTTCTCAATCCAATGTTCCAATGGGTATTTTCCACGATTTGAAAAAATTTTGTGTCCAGCAGTCGTGACAGAAGACAACTTATACTCGTCATCTACTTTGACATTTCTAAGGCATTTAACCGTGTCGACCATTCACTGCTAATACACAAGCTGGACTCCTTAAGATGGCTTAAATCATCCCTTAACAACATGTCCCAAATAGTTAAACTCGGGTCTGTAACTGCCAAACCTAGCCCAATCACTTCCGGTGTAGTAGAAGGTAGTGTTATTAGGCCTCTCCTATCTACACTTGATAGCGAAGACTTATGTGCTTGCTCTTCACATGTAAAATCACTCATCTTTGCAGATGACCTAAAAGTAGCTAATATATTCTATTGTGATGACCTAGGGTACTTCCGGAATGTTCTGCAGAATGAATGAGATAAAGTGACTGTTTGGTCGTCTTTACGGAATCCACAATTTAATCTGGACAAGCGTGGTTGGATTTGCTTCGGCGCACCCTCAATCGACATGAAATTAACGCCTCAATCTGCTAACCTACCCAGACTCCGAAGTGTCGTTGACTTAGGCCTGAAGTACTCTAGTGACCTAACATTTTTTGAGCAAGTGGCACCACGGACTGAAATGTCGACGATGCCCTTGAGATGCATGCTCAGGAACTTTCACGACAACGAAGCGAAGCTCATTCCATACAAGCATTTGTTAGGCCACTATTAGAATACTGACCTTGTAATTATTAGCGATACAGGCATATGCGACAAGCTAAGGACGGAAAGTATCCGACGATATTTCGCCTCCAAACTACTTGGTTATGATTGTAAGAAAGGCTACATCTCACAGTGCATGATTCTACAACTTGACCCACTCTGGACAAGACGACTTATTATAGACCTAATATTCTTCTTTAAGGTCTTACACAAAATATCATACTCAGGCAATAGGGACATACAATTCTCACCGGAAGGCTCTTACTATCTGCGTAACCAAACTTGCACAGTGACAATAAAAGCCTTTAAATAATAGCTCCACGAAAACTTCTTCACGGCCATATATTCTTAAATATGGAACAGTCTTCCCCTGTAAATCAGAACGTGCACCTTGGTTACAAGTTTCAGATGCTCTGTATACAGACTGTTTCTTCGTACTGATTACATTCACAAACTATTTATTTCTGAAACGAATCAATTATTGTTTTCCTACAGTACCTAAAAACCGCGCGAAATTTCCCTAATTACTCTATAGACGATAAATAGACTAGTCGCAAAGATGCATAAAAAGACTAAGCAGAAATAAACATATATGTTTACTAGACGGCAATGTACAACAAATGTAAACATATATATGCAAACATTAGGGCCCTATCCGTGTCCACATACATTTACTTTCGTCTCTGGTACTTTGCTGCTTGCCTATTCCCTTGTATTTGCCTTGTAGTGGAAGTTGCACAGATTTAAAGTTAGAGTGAAGTTGAACAGGACTCCAAGCCACTCATAAATATATACCATATCATCACACAAGGTTCCGGCTCGTCATAACTCAACATCCTTGAAAAAGTCGCTGTCACCATATCAGGACGCTGTATAACATCCTATACAAGCAGCATCCATGACCTAAAATGGTTTACAAATAGTTTTCTACACGTTAATCAACTTACTCGTACAGAACACCATTCCGCTACATTTTGCAGCTGGACTCGCTGCAGTAAAATAAATCTGCCTGACAATAACCGATATCAGTCTGCATCCGGCACAATTCACTTCTGGTGTTACCTTTGATGGAAATGCTGAAAAAATTATGAAAGTATATCACTTATTTTGAATTAATACCCAATTTAGATATAAATCAAGAACTAGATTCTATGCCGTACACACCAGATTCGTATGGGAGAATTGACTTCAAGCTTTATTCTTTTTCCAAGTATTTGTAATCCATCCAACACACACTTCGGATTTTTTGTTAGTGCGAAGACAATATTTCTATATTTCTTGATATGCTCCATCGAATGTCTAGTTAGCAGATTGTCCCCACAAACTATAGACAAAATGGACAGCAACCATTTAGTTTCACCATAAATCAAGTTTATGTTATTTAAATAATATTTATGCATGCCAGTACAACTAGTGTGTTCCTATATAGAGAGGAATAAATACGTATTATTATTATGAAATTTCATTGCACGAAGACCTGTAATGGTAAACTTCTTCTCTCAATCACATCACTGTTCACCTAACTACCAATCATAGGTTAGCTCACAGATTGATATCTGAGAGCGCAGGAACATAAATGTCTCCCGAAGTCGTGCGTCTTCCGGCCATACGTTTCCCTATGCCTTCAAGAATGGGTGAAGACATTTAAGTAGAGAGTCCATCTTATAGCCCATTCTAAACAAACAAGACTCCCGACGCCTTCAAAGGACCCAGTGAATGGCACATTTGTAATAGGACTTATAACAATAAGGTTCTTCGGTTATGCTTCACTTGAGGGTTGCACTGTGTGGATAACTTCGACCTCTCAGTGCTATCAGATTTGTAGTGATCAGTGTTCTCGATTCTGGTATTGGGTAGTTTTCCCTCTTTCGGAGGCCGTACGATGTGCGTGATTGTCTTTCTGAATCCTCTGAGAATGATGACATTTCGAAATTCGGATCTTATATTCCATTCTTGATCCGTCATTGTCACAGAGTCAGGTTACAGAGTGTAAATTACACCCTTCGTGGCCAGAACTCGAGTTGTGTGCCATCAGAACGCGACCCAGGTCTTATTTTAACAGAAAAGCTAGACGCCAGTGTAAATTACACCAGGGATGTCGCCAAAGCTTACGGCACTTTACACTTTATGCATAGGCAACTGGGAGCTCTTACTCCTGAACTATTCCTAACGTTGTATACGACATGCGTAAGGCCACTCCTTGAGGTGCATAATATCATTGCTCCTCCACTACTCAAAAGGGATGCTAACATGCTAGAAAGTGTCCAGAGACGAGCGACAAAATGGGTGATCGGCCTCCGCAACAAATCATATGAGGAAAGACTGAAGAAATTAAGTCTTTTCACACTTAGTTACCGTAGTCACAGGGGAGACCTCATCACTGTCTATAAGATCTTAAATGACCAGGCCCACCCTAATAAGAGCATCCTGCCATTAAGTGATTATAGGCTTCCACGAGGTAACCCGCTAAGGATAGCACACCAGAGACCAAGGACTCGAGTGCGTTCACATTTCTTCTCGCTTCGAGTTTGCCGTCTCTAGAACGCTTTACCGGCGGCCGTAACTACAGCTCCATCTGTGGAGACTTTTAAGCGGAAGCTGGACAATCATGCAGAAATGCATGGTTTGTGTCCCAAAGGCTTATCTTCTTAAAATTTGAAACCACACTGTCAATGGATAAGCATACAAGCTAAATCTCTACGACCCGTTCTGTCTTCTCCCACTGTACCGACTACTCTATCTTTTCCTTAGGTTACCTTCCTTATTTCACCTTTATTATTTCACTTATCTCAACCTATATTGTCTACACTACAACCTATTATTATTACTATTCTACTTTTATGACTACACCGAATGACCAACGGGTGTTAGGTCAAACTCCATTCACGGCAGCAACTCAGTCCTAACATACTGCACACTACAAACCACATCTTGACCAATCCTCACACCACTCCTCTTGGAGTCTACCAGAGCTAAAGCAGACGAGTGGTGGGATTTACTACGCATAAGTTCACCGAAGATCTGGAACCTCTATCTTACAATCAAGAAGCAAGCTCAAAGAAATCACTGGTTTATACTAGCTCGTAATCAGGATATTGGATATTGGATTGTACGCCTCCTATTCTGTTGACCAGTACCCGCAATAGAAGCTTAAGCATGAAATTTACAATGTTGTGGTGACACGTACAGCTCCTCTTCTACTCAGGTTAACTAGGTGTATCACTGCTTCAGGCGTGTCCAACTATCTTTTTACATTCACTCCTCAACGATGATGTGTTTGGCTTCGCGACGAAACCAACGGTAATATCGTTATCACAGCAGTTGCCATTCTTCCTCTGTGAAGTGATAGTTTTGTCTTTCGGAAGCTTTTGTTCTTAGAAAATAAATGTTGTTGATTCCTGTATAATATCGTGCTTCTTTTTACCGTAGTCCTTACACAGGCAGTATTCGAAGTAATTGCTGAGCTGTTTATGTTAATTGGGCGTCAGGATGGTATGCTCGTAATGAAACCATACGTTGCATACGTGGCATCTCACACCTTCCTTATGATAAGAGGATGGAGCATTTAAATCTCTTCCCATTATCATATCGAAGGAGGAGAGGCGACTTAATTTTGGCTTACCGTATATTCAAGGGTGATTTAGGGATTGACCTTTCAAACCTTTTCTCTCCCTCTAGAATACATTTACGGGGTCACCAGAAGAAGGTGCTCAAACCAAGGTCGAATAAAATACGTTTGGAGTTTAGATTCTCTCACAGAGTGGTCAACGACTGGAACTCCTTACCTGATTCAGTAGTAACAGCTCCATCGGTGAACGCTTTCAAAGAGAAGTTAGATCTCTGCAGAGATATATTTTGCAATGATTAACACAGGCCACAAGAGCCTTCTATCCTTATCAACTGAATCTGAATCTGCATAGCGTCAGTCACATTGCCCTACAGGAGCAGTTGAGAACAATAAATTCAACTTAAAAGAGACAGTCAAGACACCTGGAAAAATATAAGTCACAATGATTCTTGAGACAAATTATAAGTGCTTGAAATCTGAGTCACCCATGTGATATGCCTTTGATTTGTTTAACTGCACCATTGATACTTACACAATAGGCATTTAAGAGTCTCACGTTTTCAAAGGAAATGTCTCTTGGTAGCGAAGCATGTATTCTCAAACTCAGAAAAGAAGTCAATCTACTTCATGATTTTGTTGAAAAGCTCAACAGACGCGCAAAAATGAGGAATGCATACTCGTGGAAGTTTCCTGGAAAATCAGCCCTGGAGATAAAAATTCATTCTGTCTTATCCAAGTGTAATTATTCTCAAACTAACCAGTCATCAAATACCATATTGCACGTAGTTTTACTTGAGATGATAATCGATAGGTTGCAAATAATTTTTATTTGACTAAGAAACATACTTTTAGGTGCTTACTTATCTTTCAAATCCTGAGCTATATATGCAAGGTAGATGCCCTTTACTCCTATCCATGTTCTGAAGACGTGAATTCATTGAGTTCTTGCGTCAGTGAACACATATCGGTTGTCTATGCTCTTACAGATGCGATCAATGCTAGTAAGAATAAGTGCTTACAATTCTAACGTATTAGATACCGAAGCAAAAGAAAATGATGAAAAGAAAGACGACGGTATCCGCTGTCAGTTAAACAGTCCCCTAACGGATAAATACATGGACAGCACAATAGCTGCTGAAGCTCTGAAGTGGATTTCTGACGTAGAGCGTTTCTATAACTCTCCTTCTCAAATTACATCAAAATTTACTGGTAATAATGTCGAAATAACAACCAAATCTCAGGAATGTCAGACTGATGATGGTTTAACTCGTAGTGACACTTATTCACCGATATTTTCCTCCATCGTTCAAGTAAGCACTTTGCCGGAATTTAATGCACGTTAAGGTTTTAGCAAAGTGTCTGGTAAAGCCAATGGATACATACAACTTACCTTCAGAAACTGGACGATTTGTACGTGAAGTCAACAATGTAGCATCAAGAAATAACTACGACTTAGAGGAATTAAATTCTCTGCTTCTGTTTATTGAAAGGGATTTGTTACGTCTTATAAAATATCTGGATTTGAACAGTTCATCTAGTAAGAATATGAAAGACCAATTAGAATCAATGAAAAGTGAGAATCATCAATTGTCAAAGGAGCTTTCAGATGCTCAGGTGAGTCAATGCCAGCAAAAATTTACGCATATTGTTATGATAAACCTGTAATATTATAAATTTTTTCAAGAGTAATTTATTTAATAATGAAATTAGGGTTCATTTATGCATACTTATTGAAAATATGCTTGCTGAATAAAAGATATTTAACATACCTGTAAGAAATTACACAAGCAATTAAAATAGATGAAAATACTTCGAAGTACTATTTATGCAAATGCTGCTCATAATACAAGTAAATCTATCTGAATTTAGGATAACTCGTAGTTCACAGAACTTTTTAGTTATACCGCACAACACCTTTTATCCCAATTAATTAACTTTCACTGAAGTGTATTTTAGTCGTTTATTCATCTTAGTGTAATGTTCTGAGGAATTTTGCGCATTTTGTGATTGACAGCGCTAATGAATCAATTTTTTTCCTTCACTTTCCCCAGTGGAACATAGGGCTTCAAGCTAACGGCTTGAAGTTTCTGTAGCAGTGTTTATTTTTACAGGATGGGATTGCTAGCCACATGCCCAACCTTTCCTCTTCACCAGCATTATTTCTGGCCTAGCGAGGTAAAGGAGTTCGTTGGTCGGGAATCAAACCCCGGACCATGTGCATGGTCAGCGAGCGTCCTAACCGCTATGCCAGCGACGCACATAATCAATGACTTTGGTTAATTGTTTGTTTCTTAAACATGTAAATTCAAATTATGTTATCGATTAACAAGACCATCCCTGAAGCCTAACTCTATCCACATGCATAGTTGTCGAAGTGATCAACACTTTCGTCATATGTCAATAGACACTGAAGGAATTTTAGCACATATGTATCAGGTAATACTAAAATATACAGGAAGGAAATCCGAATCTTACCTCCGTTACATTTTTGAGCAGTTCGTACCTACTACACTTTAGCAACAGCTAAGTTACTGTTAAGGACTACCAAACAGTTTGATTTGGAATCACAGAATCCTTAACTGTTACTGAAACGATTGAAATGATGTGCAAGTTAATTAACTTATAAAAGGGTAATAATCGAAAAATAACTTTGTATTGGTATACTAAAGAAACAGCAGGTGTTACATCTTGAAAATATTACAGTGACCCTCTACAGAGTCAAAGAGAAGTAGAAAGGAACAGTGATTTATACACAAGAAGATGGTATCTTATTAATCTTCTTCATTTCTGACAGGAAATAGTTAGCTAACTTTATTGTGATGCTATGAGTTGTCCAAAGTTACCACACGAAAATTTTTGACTAACAAACTGTATTCTTCTACAGATCCAACTTGTTCACACATTATTCACAAATAAATACGGACTACTTTTGATTTTCTCACTTGCCACAATATTTCTTCATAATCGTTTCATGTTTTATGCGGCTTTCTTCCATTCGGTGATTTATTATAAGTTGTAAAAGTAGTTTTGATCAGAACTAGTCAGCATATCAGTATTATCATACAGCATGTTCGCTGTATTATTTTGAATAGAGAAAGGACGAATGTATTTGCGGGATAATGGGAGCTTGTTTCATTTTGTGGATTCTCTTCAACTGCGTACGTCCTAAATAAATCAACTGTATGTTATAGAATTTCTGAACATGCCGCTGGACTCATTCCACTTTACAACGCAGTATGCTCGGTAATTCAGTCAAAAGTGGTTAAGTATCCTGCTCAGCATGTAAACTCCAACTACATGTACCAATTCACCTGCAATTGCGGCAGCAAGCACATAGGGACGACTGAAAGTAGGGTGTCTACTAGATTCTCCGAGAATATTCCTAAAAGTCTCCTTTTGAAACAAAGCAAAGTATTCTCAGGCGCAATCCTCAGACACCCAAATGAGACTGGACATACGGTGGAAACTAGTCAGAAAGTCATGGTTACTTCGGTTCTCAAAACCAGTTGCCATCAAAAGCCTTCGACCCAACTGATGCATACAGAAAGCCATTGTAACTAATCTTCCACAACCGTCGTAACCATAGCTGTTTTGCTCGTGTGCTTTCGTGTTTTATTCTGTTCCATAACATCCCACTTAATCTTTATTTTGATTTTTACTCATTGAGTTGAGCTCACTATTAAGGTTCCAAATCTAATGAATTAAATTATTTTATCTACTTTATAATTTTACTTCACTATTCACCCCCACCCACCCTCCTGTACTCTTCACCATAATATGTATTGATTAACTCTCTTGTTCAATCTTGTATTTTGACTCTAGTCCATCCTTGTTTCCAAGAGAAATCTGAATTCCACCCGTTCCCCTTGTCTAATTACTATATAAATAGTTACTCTTTTAACAATAAATGATTGTCTCCTTATGTCATCTTTGAAATTACACTTGTACTCTCTAACTATAACTTAAAATCATTGTAGAAAGTATGTGTAGATACTATTTTCTAACATATTATTGGTTTATTTAGGATGTAGGTGTCTGAAGAGAAGTCACGAAATGAAAAGAGCTCGTACTGTTATCCTGCAAAAATATTCATTCTTTCTCTGTTCAAAGTATAATTATTAGAAGGTAATCTCTTGTCTTCTTCTCAGATACAGGTATTTTCATTCTAAAGGAATTATTTTATCCAGGTGCCTCATATAAATACTTTCTGTGAAATGACAACAGTTGAGCAAGCGTACTATTTTGGCAAGGATTAGCATTTTAAATCTAATAGGCATAGAACTAGATGAAAATATCTAAATAACATTTATGCATATTCTGACAGGCGTGTTGCATACTTGCAAAACAGTTAGGCAAGAATCCCAACAAATTTAGAATTCACCAAGGGTTTTTTCAAGTGAGCATATCAGTAGGCGGCACGTAGCCGCCCACTGAACTTTGTCACACTAGCTCCGAAACACTATCCTTTTATCCCACTTCTAATCTATCTCATGTAGTTTCATCGATAACAAACGGTCTAACTGTTAATCGATGGCCTATGAGGTTGTATAGCATTACAGATTTAGGTGGGTAGAACACGATGAGATGCAAGCATTCTCTATCAACAATGCGCCGGTGACACAGTGGTTAGGACTTTCGCCGACCATGCACGTGGTCGAGGGTTCGATCCCCTGACGACGCACACCTGATATCTATGGTCAGCCTGCAAAATTAGGCTACCTATATCACATGCTGAAAATTCCATACCTGTACCAAAAAGTACGGTGTGGAATCAAGCTGTAATCCAAAAAAATCAACCAGAGTCGGACCGAATTCTGGAAGTGAGCAGATTGAAACAAGATATCATTCCATGAAGCCATTGACTTCTAGTCAAAATGTCTGAGAGAAATATACAATAAAATTCCTTCAATGTTCAAGATGCTAATTAATTCGAAATCATTCCCATTAGTGTAGATTTATTCGTCACTCAGTGTTACGCCTGAAAGTTTGAACACCTTGACTACTGTTCTTATTCTTTTCACCCTCACACACACCTACTTTCCCAGTATTATTGTAACAGTAGAAGGTAAGACACAGAAGCCAAGGCATATTTTCAAGTGATCAAACAGATATTTATATCTATTCAGTTTGTGTTCTTTAACCAATCACTGAGTGTGTGATTTTGGTGTGCATTAAACGACATGATATAGAATGTTCAAATATATACACAGTATTCTGTTGCTAATGCAGTATTGAACTGTGGGAACAGTATTCAAACGTTATCACCAACATATACAATGATTCTTACTGTGAGAATAATACTCCGTTGGAACCCCATTGTCTGTATCACACCACCACAGTATCATTAATTAATTGTGTTTCTTATCCTACTTAACTTCCTGAAGTATGTCAAATTAGAGTGATCCACACAAATGAAAAGTTTTGAGTCTGATTATTAGGTAGCCTATAGTTTCTTCAGTGAACCTTAATAATAATTTCTTTTCAATATGAATACATGACTTCAGTTGAATATAGAGGAAACAGAGGTGATGAAAGCGTTGGTTACACAGCGGCAGAATACTCGCTAACCACACCTCCTGTAGTCCGGGGTTCGATCCCCGACTGCCGATGCTCTCCTTTACCTTGCTAAGTTAGCCATAAGACTGGTAAAGAAGGAAGGTTGGGCATGAGGCTAGCAACCCCATCCCGTAAAAATAAGATACCACTGCTAACGAAGCTTCAAAGGTTTGGCTTGAAGCCCCCTATGTTCCGCTGGGAACGTAAAGGTGATGAAGATACCTAACCGCCACTACCAACAACAAGCATCAATCACCAATAAGGGAAGACATCTAGAGAACGTCCTCCCTTTCACTTCTCTGGGAAGTATAGTTTCAACTACAGGAGGCACAGATGAGGATGTCAAATCCAATCAGAATCGGAAAACTAAGACAAACCTTCATTAGTGTGAAATTAGTGTGGAAATCTGCTAAATTCAGTGTAAGGAAGAAGATTCGGATTCTACTCAACACTAATATCAAATCTATTTGATTCAAAAACGACGAATTGCGAAGAGCATTTCCAATAGGCTGCAGACTTTTTTCAACATATGCCTTCGCTCAATTCTGAAGATCAGATAGTCAGCTTGAGACGGTAAGCAATAGGGAACTCTGATAAACAACAAACCAACAAAGGACCTATCGCCTAACAAATTTACCTAAGGAAATGGATATGAATCCGACACAATCTGAGGACACAGTTGAGTGAGTGGAACCCGAGTGAGGAATGACAAGTTGAGGTTATGTGTCAGGATGACATGGATCAGAAGAGATGAAAGCTTACCAGCAGTCGTGAAGCCAGCTGAAACAGACTTCAGAGAACACAGTAAAAGTGGAGATATGTTGATGAAGGCTTATGTTCCACAATACTAAAATATTTACCAGAAATGATAATAACGAGCCGTATGCTAAAGATACTATCTTAAACATTGTATTCGAATTAATCCCTATTCTATTAATCTATAGACAGGGAATTTAGACACATTTGTCGCTCATTTTCCTTAATTATTTCTGAATAAAACTTAATTTAAATTTGATTCGATTTAGACTTTCCTGTTGATTGGTTGAACCGAAGTGCTCGGCCTCAGGTTGGTATGTCAGTTGCTTGTGCGTGGATGCCCCGATGATGTCTGAGGATTCAACCTGAAGTAATTTCTGTGGTGAAATAGAGGATAAGAATTTCGTCCTTTTAGGACTCGTCATCTGCATGTACCTGCATTCACCAGTGAGTGAGTGACTGTGTTCCCACTAGCGCTCGAACCCAGTTCACAGAGTTTCGACCGCCACTAGACCACTTGGGCCACGAAAGCAACGTCACTGGAGAATGCAGATATATCCGGCTAACGAGTCCAAAACAGCACGAAATGAGCAGCCTGGATTCTACTGCTGGTCAGCATTCACCAAAACAACTCAGCTTATCTTTCTGATGCCTTATTTAAATAGATTTTTGTTCTCAATTTTAATTTAGTTTCCTTTTGCTAAAGAAATGATGAATATTTAATATGACTATTTATTTAAATTGGTAATTAAATTGGTTTCATTTCTTTTCAATAGTTCCAATGTTTGTAATTCTTAATTTATGTAGTCGAATTTCTGCTGTATATTTTTATAACATACTGATCTTCTATGCTTCAATAAGCAACATTCTCTGTTTTTTTTCATCTTCGTAACCTTACATAGGTTTCTTAACAAGGTAGGAATAAAAGTGGCATTGAAAAAACAAACAACTACAAACTCACTTGGGATTAAATTATGTCAGTGAAAGAAGCCTGTATAAACCCATTAAATAAAATAATTTAGTTTGTCTTATACTCTTCAATGATTATGAGAATGACTACATAGATCGGTAAAGCTATTGCTGCACAAAAACCTATCGAAATCTAGATTAGTCAACGCCCAGAAAACCAAGGAATTTCGAAAAAACAAAGCCGAGTTATAGCATTACATGCAGTTACAGACAAACATACAATAGGAAAGGACAAACCAGCAATCGTAAAATCTAATATAACATGCTGTAGGTAGAGGTTGGTAGCTGAAGCTTTGTTTATAGCATCCCCTGAGAAAACACGCAATAACAATGGCTCAACACGAAGAGGAAGAAAGAAAGAACTGTGAAAATCAAATTTCGAAGTTGTGTGGTTATAACTGACATTATGATAGTGAAAAATATATTGTGTCAGAAACTTTATCCAGCAAAAATAACGCGGTTTCACCGTGAGTATGATGTTTTATTGGATGGGTGGAGGAATTCAGTAGGAAACCTTGGACCTAGGTATTATGCTTGGTGGCACTTACCAGTCAATAAGGCATATCTGCAGTCTCGAAATAACTCATCTTCCCCCTGAGATTTGAAGCCGTGTTATCCAATAATTGGTGAAGTCAGAGACGTTACCACTGAGCTATTCAGGCTCTTAAATGACCTCTTGTAGGACTGTTTTGAATATTTTGATTGGACACATGACACTAGTTCCTAACTAGCTAGTCTTCAGTCAAAGTGCCCACTACAGTCCTACAGGAGGTCAAAATGGACCTGGATGGCTTAGTGGTAACATCTCTGACGGCAGCATTCACTGGCTGACATGGGTTTGAATCTCAGGGGGCCATGAATTCCTTAAAGACTGCAGATATGCCTTGCTGAGCGGTTAGTATCAACAACCGCGAAAACAAGGTCACTAGGTTTTACAAAGGAGAAAAACGATGCCCCCGCAGCTCTATCTTAGAACATCTGATAGAATCTGGACACTAAACTACACCCCAGACAAACTTCAAAGTCGTCTACAGAGTAAGAAATAGTCTTTCTAAAGGTGTACGAATCAGACTTCTTCAAACTGCAGAAGCAGTAGTGATTCACTTGCTAAGTCCTGAACTCTGTATACAGAGGAAGTTCGTTCAATCACTACACTTGCAATGGACGTAATCTATCTTATTACCCGACAAGTAAATTCCACCTAATCTTTTTTTCTATCTCTTCAATAGTATTATTTTGTCTTCTCAATTGTAATATTTTACATTTTCAACTTTCTTGTTCTCTAACCCCCACCCGATTTAATTTCTATACCTGATTACCCCTGTTACTGACGTGACCAAAGCTCAGTTTCTAGTCGTTTGTGTTACGTCATCCAAATTATTGGCTCAATTTCAGTTCTAATTTAAATAGCATTAATCTCTATCCCACTTCTACTCAGTCTCTACCTGTAATTACCTCTGTTACTACCCCGATCTAAGTTGAAACATTTTAGTCAATTATATTACGTCATCTAACTTACTAACTCAATCCTACTACTTTAGTTGCTGTCTAATTAACCTTGTTTCTATATTAGATCATTCTTGTATTACCTGATCAATTATCTAAACTTGACTAACCTCATGTACACACACACAGAGAAATAATCGTATATAAATACGATTGTACGGCTATGTGAATGAATTCGCCGCCGAAAAGAGTCTCTTCGCTGAACGTCTTCTCTTTTTCATATGACTCATTGGGGATTTTCAAGCTACTAAAACTAGGTCAGGAAAGGCTTCAAGCCGATTTTCTCCAATCATTTTAAAACAGCAGTTTGGACTGCTCTATGATGGCAAACAACCTAGTATAGTCACCAAATAGCAAACTTGACTGATAGGATTCAATCTGCTACAAACAAAGGCCTAGACACATGACACTAGTCACTTACTATCCAGTGTTCAATCAAGCTATCTGACAAGTGTTAGCTGACATCAGAGCAGAATGACAAAACATGATAGATGGTTAAACCAAAAACTTGATTTCAATCCGTGACGTGTTTGACAATTAGTTAGAGCCCGGTAAGGAGGTACAGACTGCCTGGTTGATGTCATCGAGAGTCTAAGAACCAATGGCTTCAAACTTTTGGTGACATAGCTCAAAAACCGTTCTCAGTGGTGTAGGTGCATTCAATCTTTGTAGTCTCCCAGAATCGTTATGCCTCGATGTTTGTCCGTTGTTATTATTCTTCCTTCCGTACATTTCTATTCACTAATGTTCGTTAGAATCTCTTATTTTCTTTTTTTTTCTCTATCCTTCTGTCCTACATGAAATGTGGCAACTCGAAGTGACGCACTTCACTGCAAAGTTCTACTCCGAAAATGATCTTGTATAACTTATTTAAAGGAAAACTGTAATGGTCTACGAGCTCACCTTGTAACCGAAGGTCCTGGGTTCGAAACCCCCTTGTAGCGGGTATGTGCTACTGAAGAGTCCAAAACTAGTGGGTTCCCCGGTGGTTCTCTAACTGATATCAGCTCATGCCGAAATTCTTTGACCAATCAAATCCCTGTAAACCAACATTTGAATGTTGCAACCATTTCAAATGTTACTTCCAGCTGTTTTAAAAGAACTCTGCAGCTTCTTTACGCAGCTGGAATATCTGTGGCGTCATTCGTCATACTGGGCGCGAAAACACTTTGTAAATATCTTCCCCACCAAATTCAGTCTGTCAGTTTCCTCAAAAATTACTGACCTTTGTTTAGACAATAGTTACATAGAAACATAATTTTTGAGGACGTAATTTGAATTCTAACTATACTCAAACAAAATTTGTTTTTCTTCTTTTCTCAAGAATGAATATAACAATCTCAATGAGAAATTATCTAAAGAATTGAGTGAATTAAATAAGAATTATAAAAAAGCACAAAAAGAGAATTCAAAATTCAAAACCAACTTGGAAGATTTAAACAAAGCGTTAAACGTTAAAGATACACGAATACAAGAATTAGAAAATCAGCGTCAAGCATTGGAAAATAATTTGGGTAAGATAATGATTATAAATTAAAGAGTTTTATGACAAGAGTTGCATTTATGACAAATGCCTACTGAATTAGCTTTGAATCACTATAATTGTCTTGCGTTACTCCCCTTCTGTTATGTCTGTCTGTTTTCGACATAGAACTTTGCACAGATGTGCGGCAGTTCAAGTCGCCACACTCCATGTAGCACACAAAGCAAGAGAAGAAAGTAGGAGAAATGCATAATATAGGCAGTAAGCAGAGGTGTGAGACAAAGGAATAGTAATAACGAAGAACAAAACAGTTTCATTGGAAATCATAAGTCACAAGGAGTGGATGCATCTTCACTAGCTATTGACAACGATCACTTTGAGCCATGTCACCAATTGTTTCCAACCATTGGTTTTTACCGTCCTGAGGACCCCAACCAGGAAGTCTACATCTTCCTACGTGGCTTAGATTAACTGTTGTGGATTTCATTGACTGGTGCCATGTTTTGGTTTGACTGCCGTTAGCTCTTTTCCAGCCTGACCCCATATCAGCTAACATTCCCCTTCTGTTATGACATATCTTTAACGGCGTCGAGTGTCTTCAGGAAGTTTCTTTCCTGAAATTCTACTTAGAGGAGGCCACATGTCTCAGAGGTTTTCGCTGACAAGATGACCAGACGCTTTGTTTGAGAATTCAGTTGATCACCTCATAAAAAAGAAAATGTTTTATCTTCATGTTGTAAGTGGCTTTGTGGTGAGAGCTGACCGCTAGCCAAATTGGTAGACAGTAATTTACGTTAATGTGTACGTCCTCAATATTGGTCGTGAGAAAAAAAAGAACGAAGACTGATTCAACAACCAACCACAGCAGACTTTGTTTGCGTAGGCAGAGACAGTTTGTAGATAGATAATCTGACCATCAAAGAAACAGCCACAAAGAAATAAAAGATTAACTTCCAGTGAGAAACAACCACCAATCAGAAGACTGTGTTTATCTACTAATCATAATCTATAATAATGTACATGAAAGTCTATAATTATGTGTTGATTTCCTTAATAAACGATCTGTTACCTGGTCCTTGTCTTCTGTTGTTACAGCTTAACTTTGCCGTTCATAGGCCACCACCAGCTAACTAAATAATAACGTGTTCTTGGTAATTTATTCATGAATTCAACACCTCATGGAGTTTTGAATGAGTTCCTCTAAAGTCTTTGAAATTTTCGGAATTTTTCAATTCCACTTTTACCAATGTCCTTTTTAGTAGCAAAGATGAATTAGGTCGGCATTTGGATACATAAATTCACACGGAGACAAACTTTGTAGGCTAAATGACCCAAGTGATCCAAATAGACATATCATGTGATCTACAAAATCCTACACAGATTATAACTGTAGATCAGACTTAATCAAGTTGTCGGAAGACAGGAATTCAGCTAGATGTAGAATAATTGACCCCAGAAAAGGAAACATTCAGTAGTACCGAACTTGAACATTCTATTTCATGTCGTTTAATGTAAGCCAAAATCACACACTCAGTGATTGGTTAAAGAATATAAAACTGTATAAATATAAACAGCGGTTTGATCACTTGAAAATATACCTTTGCTTCAGTCTCTTGTCTTCTGCTGTTATAGTAGGAATTTCTTGACACGATCATCAACACTGAATTGCGCCCGTCTCGCGATCAGTAAATAACGGTAGACTGTATCACTGTATGTTTCCCCATGAAATAAATTTATTCTATACAGCTCTTTAGAAAACTGATTTTTTGTGTTAGCTATGGCAAGCTTGACAGAAAACTTAAGAAACGTATCGAGTTATTTCACTGTCACGGAGTTCTTGCTCTCCTTCAAATCACCGAAATACCCATTGAGTCATGAAGAAAATAAAAGACAATCCATCAGAGAAGAAAATCCTCTTTATCGACGAGATCATCTTCACACGATGTACTGTCATATTTATGTTTTTTCAAAATTTAATAATTCCCATTGTAGCATTAAGAACACAGTATTCAGCGAAGAGACTTTTCAACGAAGCTATTATCAAGCTATACCATCGTATATATATGGTTTTTAAGAAATTATATCCAGGGAGGGAATTAGGTCAACGGTGCGAATATATGAAATAATAACAGTAGTATGAAATGCAATTAAACTGCTTGTGATTATAATCATAGTTTAATGTCAAGTGGCAAAATAATTAATGTCATATATAGAATAATACATAAGGTGTATAGAATTTTGAAAAGGGGTACATAACTATAGGATTAGTAGACGTATATAAAATGTTACATAACATGGTGTGAAATTTGATAAGATAGAATTCAATATTGTAAAAAATAAAAATATAAAAGTTAATAATTTTGGGTTTAAAATGTCAAGTGGGACAAGTGGAAAAGATTCAGAGTGAGAATATTAATAATAATAATAATCGTAGTAATAAGGCAGAAGTACATAGAATAACTAAAGAAACAAAATAAATGAATGTCTATCCCTCTACGGCCAAGGCAGAAGTAGGGATTGTACATACTTCTTTTGTACACAAAGGTTTGTTTGGCTTAAAGTCATGAATTGCCAGGGCCTCAGCTGTCTTTAGAAGTCTGTAACGAAGAAAACGCGGAAAGTTAGCATGGGTTCGGTAGATGATCTTAAAATCATGGTCAGAGTTGACAGAGTGACAGAAGTCAATCAGGTGTTCCAAAATGTAGCTTCGCGCACACTTCCTTTCTCCCTTGTAAAACCATGCTTGAATATGTTCTCGGATCCGTGTGGAAAGCGTCCTCTGACTACGGCCAATGTACCTTGCTCCACAAGATGAGCGGGTGAACCGATAGATGCACATGGAGGCGGCCAGATATATTTTCCAAAAATGTATAGTGGTCTATTATTGAGTAATACAACTGGGGTAACATAATTGACATAATTATTTAGTAATGACTTTAGAAGTAAAAATAAAAGTTGTAAATTACGTGGTACTCAACACAACAAAGTTAGAAATTTGATAAGGTTAAAATTGCTATTGAGTAGTGAGATTAAAGGTGGTAGTTGAGTGTCAATTTAACAAGTGTGAAGAGGGTGTGAAAATGTACAAAAGGAACATATGAGAGTGATAATAGTGAATTAGTTATTAAAGTAAAAGCAAACTAAAAGTAAAATTGAAAATTAAAAAATTAAAATTTTTTTTACAGGGAAAGACTAGAGAAGAGGTTAAGACCATGGTAGAATATTATTATTATTCACTGTGTTATTCCAAACATTTTTGAGTCCTTTCTCCGATAACGAATTGTCTAATGTAGTGACGTAATTGGTGCGAGATACACTACAGTCTTAATTTTCAATCTCGCACACCCTTTTTTCCTTATCTACCTGAACATGACTTTGAAAACATTCAAACCTGTCGTTTTACAGGATTCATTTACCATGGTAGTTTGTTTAACTTATATGTCACATATCTTCCAACACATTTCTAATTGTAAATGTCACTCTATGTAGAGTATTCAGCAGGTGAGGAGTGGTCTGTCGAAATTTGATTAATTCATTATATCTTGCTTAATCAACTTTTGTCGCTTTCTTTAAAAATTAGATCCATTAGTTGGGTTGTTGGCTGACGAAATCTCAGCACGGATACAGAAAGATGGTTTGACATATGCTAAATTAGTCCATCGCTGGCGTAGACGTGATATCTGGCCGTCGAACCAAAGACGTGCGTACTGCTCAGCAGTTCGTTCTGTCCTCTTTTATAGATGACTATGTGACATGGTGTCATTAAAAGTGGAAAACATGAAAAGCCTGGCTAGTTGTCTTTGATCATAGGTATCTGAACTCAGTCTCCCGCGTTAGGTGGTACGTGTAACAGGGTGATCAGTATTGAGGTTAGGCATCTGTTGAGTGCTAGGTAAGGAGGTGAAATCAATCTATCAGGTTGTGCAGCAGCTGCATCGATTGAGATGCTTAGGACATGTGTTACGCATGCTTCCCTGGCCATCCATCGCTTTCCCCGATGGGAAATGTTAGCTGACATAGGACTGATCAGGTTGGAATAGAGAGGGATAGCGGTGGTCAAACGAAAACATGGCTTCATTAACCAATCAAACCCACAACAGTTAGTTTAAACCATCCAACCAGTCACAAAGGTAGGTGTAGACTTCCTGACTAACTAGTCGGGGTCCTCGGGATGGTAAGAACCAATGAAGGCTGGAGACAATTGGTGATATGGCTCAAAGTGATTGTTCTCAATGGCTCGCGGAGATGCATTCACTCTTTGTGATTTATAATATCCAATAAAAGTCTATTGTTCTTCCATATTACTATTCTTTTTGCCTCACTCACGCTTCTGTTTATTGTCTCCCTTTTGAATGTCTTTACTCTTTTCTCTTTCTTTGTGTGCTACATGGAATCGAATGTGTCAACTTCGAAGTGGTGCACATTTGTGGAAAGTTCTACACTGAAACCTATTAGTCAGTCAGTCAGTCAGTTGGAATTATACATATGCATCACAGAGATAACTTTTTTTCCAATGTTGATCGAAATCAACAATTATCTCGTATTTTGTTAAACAAATAACCGATAGTACTGCATAGTTTGAATAGAATCAAAACATAGTTAAGTGACTACTTAAAAGGCTTCCCCATCATTTTCAGTAGTATATTGTATCGCTGCATAACACAGTTTGTGATATTTTAAACTGAACATTTTTCACTGAATAAGAAACACTTTCACATATCATACTTTTATTGATTCAAATGTCGAAAATATACAATCGAATTAGTTATTGACAAAGTATACATGTCGAGAAGATGACTCGCCACACTTTTCTATGGATACCAAAAGTATACAGATATGAATATGCGATTAGCTAAATCCAATAACTGGGTAGTCAAGTAACCAAGCAACATAAACTGATGTTATATATACTACTAGTCGATTTATATGAGTAGTCAGAGACTACTCATTACAAGTAGTAGTCTGACGCATTTTACAACCAACTTCATCAGTGATTTACTCAGATAAATATATTGTCACTTATTACAGAAATCAAATTGCATATTGTAATCTTAACAGACTGAACTCTGCAAACTTTAGTGCTTCAGTCAGGATAGCAGCTAAGAGAATTGTCGTAGTTGTCATCCAGGACACATTTCTTGTGTGTAACATAGTCTCCCAAATAGTCATTGCCTAAGAGATTGATTCAATTAGAGGTGATGCAAACAACTCCACTATAGATAACATTTTATTTTGATAAAATCACACAGTGTTGTGTTATACAGTAATATTAACTGATGACCACGTTTCGAGCACAAATTATTGCCACTCATAATCATATCAAGGCACTACTCACACAACACTTTTCTTCGATTATATACATGAGTAAACATTGATGATTAGACATTTGAATAAAAATCAACATGGGATAATGTACATTCAGAAACAGTAATACGAGTGTTATCAGTCAAGTACAATCAGATGGGAAATAAGATGAGTGTTTTTTATAGTCATAATAAGGAACTTGTTAGAATGTTGTGATGTACATGGATTGAAATAGAATTTTAAGATTATTTTTTATCCTCCTCTGATTTGACTGAGCAATAATATTGTCCATATTTGTGGTATTTGCATTGAGTCATTTCTGTTGCATGTGTTGGGTGAAGGTGGACTCGATGAACCAGGATTCGGTAAGTAATCAATCTCTCCACTTACATAGGTTACTTCTTAGACTTTTAACCCTCTCCCACCCTATTGTATGGTTGTGTGTTAATGCATGTAGTGCAATTGCTGAGCTTTTTTCCAAATTACCCATCTTCTCGAGGTAAATCATTCTTACCTTAGCTAAATTCTTATATTCTGAGAGGTAATCTCACTAACCCTGATCTACTAGTTTGACCTATGTAGTTGACCTTACTCACAGTCATTGCAAGGTATTCTGCAAATTGTATTATTTTGTCTAACTGGGTCAACCGACAGGATCTTTCATTCTACCTACAGAGCTTGTCCAACCCGAATGACTTTTTAGGTTTGAATGCCACCCTAATTCCTGCTTTACTGAAAATCCTACACAGGGTCTCAGATGTCCCCTCTTGATACAGTATGACTGAAAATGCCTTATATTCTTTCTTATTTATGTTATCATTATTAGTTTCCCCTTTATTTTTATTTTGCTTTTTACCTTTTCTGATCTTCCTAATGAATTTTATAGGATAGTTATTTAACACAAACGCTTCTTCTATCTGTTTCATTTCTTGTACCAATTAGTGCTATTGCTCGGTTTGTTAGACACTTAACTAAGCCTGCTTTAACAGTTAAAGGATGAGATGAATTAAAGGCTAAATATCTGTTAGAATGCGTTGGTTTTTTATAAACGCTGGTAGGCAGTTTACCCTCTTCTGTTCGTTTTATTTTACATTCTAACATAGTTAATTCTCCTTGTTCATTTTCCGATTCAATGTAAATTTTATTCCCTTCACTATATAGGTCATATTGATTTTGTTGGAATGTCTAATCATCATCTCCACTCATGTATATAAATGAAGCAAGAAAGTAGTTGTATGAATGCCTTGATATGTTAATGAGTGGCAATAAATTGTGCTCGAAACGTGGTCATAAGTAAATATTACTGTATGACACTGTGTGATTTATCAAAATAAAATCTTATCTATAATGGATTTGTACTCTACCACCAAAGTGCTCAAGTTTTATACTTACATCAGTGATGCAGATGAGACTGTTCCTTCTTCGTGAAACGTAAGCTGATATCCCATTGGGGTGATGAAGTTTTATTGGTGATCAGAACAAAACATGTCATCAGCTGTTTAAATCTTTGACTGTTGCTTTGAGTCACATGAAGACAGGTGTAAACTGCCCAAGAAAAAACGGATGACTTGAGACTGTTGGTCATGCTGCTGAAAATTTTTTTAAGTGCTGTATAGATGCATTCACTCTTTGTGAAATCCTAAATCCATTAAATTCCCGTTGTTTTCTGTGAAATCATTCTAACCCCCAAAACACCGACCCACCCACCCCCATACATTTCTGTCGCCTGATTTTTGTACCTTCAGTTTTGCGCTTTTATTAAGTATAATGGCAGCTTGAACTGTCACACCTTTGTCCAAAGTTCAATTTTTCAAATTCAGTTCATTTTACAAGAACAAATTCCCGAAAAGATTTTGGTTTCAATTTTTTCCAAAGATCTTTCTTCTCATAATCGTATTTCAAAGATTATGAACCCTTTCATTTTCGATTTCTCTTATCCATAATCCAGATCACATTGAAAGACTATTTAATACCGACGTGGATCAGCTGAATGACGATAATTTGCCATCAAAATCACCGCCATCATCATCGTTATCAAATGTTCAATCATGTATTCTAGAACTTCAGAGGAAACTGGCATCTACTACAAAAGATTATCAGTCTGCCTTGAAACAATTAGAAGTCAAAGAAATGGAGAATCAAAATATGAATTCACAATTCACGGTAAAATTTCTGATAAAAATAATAATTATAATTAATATGTGTACATTGAACACCTTGATCAGCGCGAGTTTCAAAATAAAACTGTTTAATATAGCTAAAATTCTCATTTAGATATTAAAAAGGCGAAAACAAATGAGAAGATTGAGCAAATAATATTTATTGTCTTTGATAATTTCTTCATTAGG